GTGGGCCGTCAGGAGAAGCTGTGGCTGCCCTCTCCCATGGAATTGTTCAAGCCCGGATTGGATGGGGCTTGGAGCAACCCGGTCTAGTGGAAGATGTCCCTGTCCATGGCAAAGGGGTTGGAACGAGGTGATCTTTAAGGTCCCTTCCAACCCAAACCACTCTATGATTCTATGGAAAGGTTTCAAGATTAGTTAGGCTACAATGGGAGGAGGTGGAAAGTGTGTTAGCTATTCTCTGGTTAGGTACTACACCCTCTACCTCCCTACCAGAGGGTAATGGCAATCATCCTACCCACTTATCTGACTGGCTTCTATGAGAAGCCTTTGCCTTTCGCAGACCTCCAGGCTGGCTGTCAATGTCCTTGGAAACACCATACAAATCTCCCCATCCCCCAGATTTGGTTTCTGGATCCCACCTGGGCTTAGGCAAGTGCAAGATGCCAAGTCCCCAGTCCTATTAGGTCTAGACTCGTCTGTTCATGCTCAAAAGTCGAGCTTTCACACAGCTCAGGAACTGTATGGTCACCACTTGCAGGAAGCTGGGATCCTCCAGGCTGGACAGATGCTGACCAAGGGTTTTTCAAAATCACGTTGTGGAACTGAGGGTTCCTGCATTTTCCTTTTTTGTTCTAGCCCTCGGTGACTTATTAACCTCACGACGCACATTGACAACATGTTCCAGGACATTGCTCATACCTTCGGCTTGTAAGTTCATGCACGTTATTTGATTTGCATATTGTTGTATTTGGTAGTCTTCCCAAAGCGAAGCAAAGCGAAGCACAACTTCTTGCTTAAGCCTTCAATCCAGCCATGACTGCTCTGCAAGCATGCAGTTTTGGTTTCTCCCTGAGAACTTGTTGGCTTTTTGGCTTGGTATATTAAACTCTTTTCACACTAGTAAAGCCTGGAAGCATCTAGAAGGCAAAGATTAAGCTAAAATGCCCAGGGAAAGCTCAGATCAGCAAAATATGATGTAAGGAAGGTTTGAGCGGTTTTGAGTAGGCACCTCGTCAGCTGATGCACAGCTCAGTAGAAGCTGGCGAAGCTGCATCAACTGAAAACCTGACCTTCTGCCTTTATGGATCCGTTCATATTTCAACACTGTCCTAGCTCCATCATCTGAAAGGTGTCAGACACAACATGCTTTCTCGGCTCGCTGGCCTATAGGCACGAGGTGAGCTTGTGTGGAGAATGGTACAGGAGGTTAAGGGAGGCCGGTTATCAGAATCATTGTGTCGTCTTAGAATTGCCTCAAAGGTTTGAGAATAGCCCTATTCATGAGAAAAATGTCATTTTGCAGAAGGAAAAAAGCATTGCAGTAGTGTTTTCTGAGGTGTGGTGTTGAACTCCAGGGCCATTTCCAGTGAGTGAAGAAACATAATGAGACTAAAACCGGGGGAGGAGGGAAATAAAAACTGATATTTTGGTATGTTCCCCATTTGCAAAGCAGTTTGAAATGTTTGGTTTTCATTTTGGCATGGTGTAGAAAAAGCACTGGCATCCAGGAAGGCCAGGCTAATGCTGAGCTGCCCTTCCCCACCCAGCTTTAGCTAGGATGAAAGGCTATGAAGGAAGGTCTCTATTAGTGTTCCTCAGACCCTAACCATGACATCTTTTGGCTGATTCCATCCACCATCCTGAGGCAACGGTCAGAAGAGGAAATCTCCTTTCCAGCCCCCTTTGCAGGGGCCTTCATTAGGCAAGTGAGAAAAACTCTGGATAGGTGCAAGATGCCATATATTGAACACTGACTCGAAGTGATAGCCTAGGAGAAAGAAGGTGGCCTCAGGATGGAGGGTGAGGACAATGTTTAGTTAACATAGTGTGGACTGGGGAGAATGTGGCCGTTTTCCTACCTTCCAGCCATCAGCAGCTCTCTTAATCAAGGAGGACGAGGTGCTTTACCTGGTGCGGGTCCCACCACTATGGGTGGAGGCTGTCATGAAGTGTAGACCTGCATTTTCTCCGTTATGAGAACATAGCCCAGATTCCATGCATCTGAAGCCAAGACTGCAGCTCAGGGTATGGGTATGTGGTGCATTGCCTACAAAGTACCATATAGTTATTCTATATGACCCCTGAAACTCAGGTTTGCACTGCTTTTTGTTTTGCCATGGCCCTAACCTAAGGCCTTAGGATGAATGACCTTAGTCAGAACTTCTTGGCTGACCTCAGTGGCCTCGAATCAAGCCTGGTCCTGTCTAGACAGGAGCTTATTTCCTAGTGGAAGAAAATGTCTTTGGAGGAGGTCCAAGCTGGACCCATAGGGAAGAGGAGAGTTTCCCAGCCTTCTGCCATGCCCTCGAGAGAGGGTGTTCACAGGGCTGACCAAAGCCATGTGTGGTCCCTTCACTGGCCACTATTCATTGATTTCTCTCTTTCACAGCTACCAGGGAATCAGCCTTTGTCCATGCCATTGCCTCTGCTGGAGTGGCTTTCGCGGTGACCAGATCCTGCGCCGAGGGCTCGGCCACCATCTGCGGCTGTGACACCCGCCACAAGGGCTCTCCTGGGGAAGGCTGGAAATGGGGGGGCTGCAGCGAGGACGTGGAGTTTGGGAGCATGGTGTCTCGGGAGTTTGCGGATGCCCGAGAGAACAGACCAGATGCTCGGTCAGCCATGAACAGGCACAACAATGAAGCTGGAAGGACCGTAAGGACATTTAGTTTCACCTTTCTCCATCTCCCATCAATCTTTTCTTACCTGCCGTAATGAACAGTGTGAGGGAACCGAGGGAAACAACTGAACATAAAACTGGGAAGTTCTACATCATGAAACGATGATACCTGCCCTATGATAGTTCTTGTCAAGGAGGTGATCGAGGTCCCTGATCTATGAAAGCTATAAGTAAATTCACCCACCCAGATGTAAATGTCTACCTCGGAGTCAGTTGTCCAGACTTCTTTTATAGAGAATGGATCGAGTCAGACAGGTCTAGCATGGGATTTCATCCCAGCTTGAGGGAGACATTTGTAATAGCTCAGCTAATGATGCCCCAACTGTGCCTGTTCCTCTCCATTGGCTGCAGGACGAAGGTGAGCTGTACAGCCAGGGATGTCCGTACTGTAGACATCTGAAGTTAAGAGAGATGGACCAGGGTTTATGGGGAGGATTCAGCTGCTTAAGCAAATGCACTTTAGTATAAACTGAGATACCCTGAAGTATCCAGCCTGTCCTTGGGCTGCTACTGGGAAAGACTGTGTGTCTCCTGCAGGTCCTCCACCATCTTGGGACTGATGCCTTAGACACCTCTGGAGCTCACAAGTGGCATTAGATGTATCTGTTTAGGCAGCTGAATCCTAGTTTAAGCACAACTGTCCATTCCCTTGGGATCACCATTCTGCTCTGTAGGCTTGAGGGTGGGGAAGAGCAGGAAAGCATTTCTCACCACCCCTCTTCTCAACATTTCCATTTCCCTGGGAATATTTAAATAAAATAAGAGGGAATGTGACTTTGGTACCTCCTGATTAAACTTGGACCATGCCCTAAAGCCAGCTAATGTGTTTTGGCTTCAAACAGTCATGGAGTGAAATGTATAAGGAAACAGAAAGCACAAAACCTTGCCCTCATCACAGTGACTGCCTCATACACAGTGAATCTTTTCCATAAGGTGGAACAACACCAGTAAGAGGACATTCTCTTTTTCATCTCAAAAGTAGCCCATAAATGCCAGAAGGATGTAATCTATGGGAAACAATTTGTGAAACTGAACCACAAACTCCCGCTAATGGAGACCATGCCACAGCTTCTCTGAGATAAAAGCATTTTTTTTCATGTAGTGAACTTGAGATGTTTGGGAAATAAACTTTCACCCCAGTGGAATAGATTAATATGGTCTTGTCCCTTCAGCAGAAGGCCTTACACGTGTCTAGGTGGACATTTGACTGTGCAGTGAGCTATAGCAAAGCCACCTCAGCTGAACTGTTCTAGGAAACGACTGTCCTCAGGCAGGCTAGGACTTCTCTGTGAGCTCCTCAGGCAGACCCCATCAAACCCAAGTGGAGTTATCCCACCTCATACCACAGGAGAGCTGGTCTGAAATAGGGAATACAACCTTTCCAAGGGAAAGACCACCAGAAACAAAAATTGCCTGCAATGCAGATGACTACGAGCAATAATGTGGTTTCGTCCAGCACTGGCCTGAATTATCCCAGGTATTCCAAGGTATCATGCATTGCTGGTGGCAGTTGCTGGGGTAGGTAATGAGATAAATAGGGCTGTGGACAAGCTGGGTAGAGCGGAAAGGAGGGATTCGCCTTAAAGTAAGAATCCATGGAAAAATGGAGCTTTGAGAAAACATCCCTGTGAACGCAGGCCTGCAGAGGTCTTCTTACTATATGTCTTGTTACTTGACACTGAGTTATTTTCAGACATTTTACAGATGTCAAAGATTAGGGAGCAGATGTCACATGATTATCTGCAATCCTACTGTTTTATAAAGCAGTAGTGTTTTCCATTCTCACCGTGCCAGCCCTCATGGGGTAGCTCTTCCAGGCTTCCATACTCAAGTGTTTCCAGCTAAACCTGAGCCATAGGCAATGTTTCATATTAGTTCCCATATGAGCTCAAACCCTACCACTATGCCAGAAGCTTTGATTAAGTTCAGCGTGATTATATGAACCAAACATTTTGTGGTTCTCTCTCATCGCTAATTACAACCTCCTTTGCGGCGGGTGATACTCCGTAAATAACACAGGAAAGCACCTGGTGAACACCAAGGTGCTGATTCATGGCAAATCTTTTGGACTCAGGCTGGCACTAGTCTGTTCACGTACCTGGAAATTTGCTGATCAGTCTGAAAACGCAGATTATCAAGTAAGTTGCATAAGGCTGTCTCCCACCTCAGAATACTGGAGGGCAACACCTCTAGAAACCTTTAGACTAATTTCATAAGAGGTAAAAGTGAATAGCAAACTTCTGGGATCAATAATCACCGTTCCATTTATTCCAGGGCAGTGTTTTATGTTGAAGTCTGAGCCTTTCAAAATCAAAAGTTGGGCTGCTATTTTTTTTCTTTGGTTTTAGAAGAATCACAAGCCTGGCTTAAAAATAAAAATACATTACTTTTCAGGTTTCTGAACATAGCCGCAGCAAGGCTAGGACCTTGTTTGCTTAAGTAAACATGAAACATATGTAAAAGACGGAATGCTGTGCTAGACAGTTAGGACGTTTCATATTTCTTTAATTTCTAATGGAATAGCTGTATATTTCATTTATGAATACATTGGTTTAGTAGGTTTGTGTGTTTGTCGCTTCTCTGCCTAGATGTGTCTGAATTGTGTTCTTGGGTGACAGTGCTGCACATTGATAAGGCAAAAGTCAGTACACACAGAAAACTCTTCAATCCTTAGTGAAAGCACTTGGTAGATGTGGGTGTGAATCAGAGATAGTCATTGAAAATAATCCAGTTGCAGGGGTTTTATCTCTCTTAGACCCAACATCTGTTGAGGGCATTGGCTGGAGGATAAGGTGATTTTTGTTCACGAGTGTGTAAATATATCTATAAAAACGCTGCAATTCTTTAGGAAATCCTGGCAAAACATCAGAATGAAATACGTGTTTTGATTACAGGCTAATGGCTTCCTTCTTCTTTGCCTTTCCTCTCCTCTTTTTCAGTCTATTATTGAACTCATGCATCTCAAGTGCAAATGTCACGGCCTCTCAGGCAGCTGCGAAGTGAAGACCTGCTGGTGGTCTCAGCCAGACTTCAGGGTCATCGGTGACTACCTCAAGGACAAGTACGACAGCGCTTCTGAAATGGTGGTGGAGAAACACCGAGAATCCCGTGGCTGGGTTGAGACTCTCAGGCCCAAATACAACTTCTTCAAGGCTCCAACCGAGAAGGATCTGGTTTACTACGAGAACTCACCAAACTTTTGTGAGCCCAACCCTGAGACAGGTTCCTTCGGGACCCGTGACAGGATCTGTAATGTCACTTCCCACGGGATTGATGGTTGCGACCTTTTGTGCTGCGGACGTGGGCACAACACGAGGACTGAGAAACGGAAAGAGAAGTGCCACTGTATCTTCCACTGGTGCTGCTATGTCCGCTGCCAGGAGTGCATACGAGTCTACGATGTCCACACGTGCAAATAAAGCAGGCAAAACCCTTCGCTGGGCTCCAAGTGGAGAAACGGATTTGAGCCTGCTTCCTCTGAGGTTGCAGACACGAGAGAAGTCTACTTTTTTTCATATTAAAAGAACAAAAACTTTAAAAAAGGCTAAATCTGGCTGGATAGAATAGGTCTAATGACTTCTGGGCTATCCCGAGGCACATCTGGCAGTCACACAAGTTACGCCCTAATAATGCCTCCTGTAGAAGACAGCAGTTTTTCAACAGCTGACAACACAGAGCTGGAAAGAAGAGCATTAGCAAAAGCATGGATTTGCTCTGCTCTCACTCACCTGAAGTGACTCGTGTGATTAAGTGTCCTTTTGAAAGACTTACACCTTCCTAAGTATCTCCATTTCCCTCAGCCAGGCAGAGGCTGCGTTGGACAGCAGCATTAAGCTTTCTGAGATCTATCTACGTACCCAAATGGCCAGAGTTTGTACAATATGAGCATCAACAACAGCAGCAAAAGAAATAAAAGTGGATAAATTAAGGATTTTTTTTAAAAAAATAATGCAAATACTCCTTTGCTTTTGCCCTGATACCAGAGAAGTCTACAAATATATAATAGAGCTGTAGAGTGGGCAGGCTCTTCGCGTGAGCTTCTTAGCGTAGTAGCTTCTGCCAGTTGGACATAGGATTTGGTGACACCTGTAGAGAGGGAGGGAGGGAGAAGGAGAGGGAGAGAAAGAGAAAGAACTGCTGATGGTTTCCTGCAAATGCCCTGTTGCCCCACAGGCGATGTGCATGATACGGAAAAGTTCAGTGCCTGGTATGTGAAGTGAAGAGGACTCAGCGTGTGCATTGAGAAGGAGACAGCTCCATGGATGAATATGTTGCTCCAGCTGTGGCCTGGTACAAGGCTCAGCCAACGAGACTTCCTTGGAAACATGCGGTGCAGAAAGAGTCTCCTGGGGTTGGACACTCGCTGCTGGGCCTAGGACATGCAGCTCCTCAGCATCCTAGAATGTTCCCATACAGGAGGAAAGGGAAAATATTCAGCCCTCCCACCTGGTTAGAGAACGCTGCCACAACAGCAGAAAGTGCACTTAGTCTATCCACTCTCTGCACCTCATGCAGGCTTGCCCCTGGGCACGTAGCAAAAGCTTTAGACCACAAGTCTGTCAGGAACATGACTCTGAAGGACTGGTTGTCACCCACTAATTTACATGACGGTGAACCGACCCATCACCACCACCCCCCAACTTGGAAAAGTTTTAGACTCAAGCCGAATTTTGTTCCACACCTGATTTCTACAGCCATTCCCGACTTTAAAAGTGGCACAGATTAAAATGCACAAAACCCAGACTCTGAACCAGCCCAGAGTTTGGGCGAGTTTGGACACCGCGCCAAATGCCAGCTTTGCAGCGCTGGCTCACCTCTGACTCCCCGTTTTTGCATGCTGCTCTACTTCCAATTTCAGGTCAGGATTGCCAGTTTACAGAAACAGCTCTCACCTCCTCCGTGGGCATCAGGGCTTCCTTCAGCCACGTGGGTATCAGCTGTGAATCTCAGCCCATCACCTTGGCATTTACAGCGCCGTGACTCTGCTTGAGTTATTCCTGGTCCATATTGGCATAAATGACTGGTGAATCGAGCATGGAGTCGCAGCCTGTTTAGCCTCAGATGCACTTGTCCTGTGTCCTTTTTGCCTTACCCATACCTTTGGGTTCTTATCTTGGGAAAAGGACAATGGATTGGCATTTTTTTCTTCCTCTTCAGTACAAGAAGGGAAATGAGGCATGTTCTAACTCACAGTGACCCACAAGAAACTTTTCATGGCAACGTGATCACGGCTGTTGGGTACTTCACACCTGGATGTCCGTGTAGAGAAATGAGAGAGCTCTTCTCTCCCTGCATCTCAGCTTATTCCTGGGAACCAAAGGAGGGAGTATGCAGAGAAGGCAGGGAACAAATAGAGCTTAATCCCATCAGAAAGAAAACAGGAGGAAATGATGCCTCCAAGGGATGATTCTGAGTCATGGCGTCTCCTGGGACTACTCCTAGGCTGGTGCAGTTTATGCATCACCCATTTGTCTCAAGGCTGTGCCCAAGGGCACAAACAAGCTTTGCTTATTGATGGAGGCACTTCTATCAATGCTCTGCAAAAAAAAAAAAAAATTAAAAAAAGCTGCAATGAAATGAAAGCAGAAACACAGAAGGGGCGGAAGGAGAGAGGAAGAGATCAAGAGAGACAAAGAAAAAAATGGGGAGAAAACCAATCAATCATATCTGCACAAGTAAACATTGCACCCAATGGATGGCTGCACACCAATGGTAGCAAACAATAGATCACTAAAAACTGAGAGAAAGATGGACCAATTAACGAATGCATGACTGACTTCTGTAACACAGTCTGGGAGAAAAGGAAAATCTGATCATCACGGCAAACAGAGAAGGAAGCCACTGCAGGGGGAAATTGCTGCAATAACCAATATTCAAAGCAAGTCGTCGAGAAGGCAAATGATGAAGAAAACCACACACGCGGTGGAAGACATTGATGAATTGGGAAAGATGAGACAAGGGCAGATACATCTGATTTACTTAATATGATGCAGTGCTAGCAGTCACAGCGAAAGAAGTCAGACACGTCCCACCAGGTACTTCTGTCAGTGAATGGTGCCCCTACAGAGAGGATGCAAATCATTGCAGGTCACGGTCCCTCTCAATCCATTGACTTCAGCAGGGTCACACCCACCACTAGTTTTGCCCTAATATTTTTAAGCAAGGTGATTTCAAACTCCTTCTTTTATACTGTATCAGTGAAGAAATGGGTTGAAAGATTTGGCTTCCGTGCATGGGAGCTGGACTCTGACCCCAGCCCATCCACAGCATGCTGACATCCACCAGAACCAAGCCCAACATCACTGTCAGGTGAAGCTCTTTGGGAAGCATGGGGTAAAAATATCCCCAAACTGGGCATTTGCTGAGCAATTGCCTCTTAAGGCGAACAAACAGATTTTGACTACAGCAGTGGAATTTATTTCATCTAGCCATGTCATCCAGTCTAAGCTATTTATCTAGTTCTCTGCTAGGATCAATGGCAAGAAACAAACAAGTCCAGAAGGTGATTCATTATAGCCTAGGATGGGATCTAAGCTATGTTTCGTAAATTGCCTTCTGGATGTATCTATCTCTGCCTTTCCTCTGACATTAGCTGATGAGCTCATACTAGATGATGAGCTCTTAGATGGGTACAGTCTGATGATGTCAAGTCCACCATGAGTCAAGGAGGTGAAGCTACAATCTGATCATCAGCTGAGATGGGCTGGAAGTTGTCCTCCTCCGTTCAAAGCTGGGGTCGGGCTTGAAACAGCTCAGTGGTTGGGGACTTCCACCCCAGTCAAGGGATTTTTAACAAAGCCTATGCATACTTGTTTGGTTTTATTATGTAATTAGTCATCCACTGTGGTGATATCATGTAAGGGGTTGAGCAGCCGCTACTAAAGTCAGTGAAAAATGCATGTGTGAATTCTGTTAATCACCCCAAGTGCATCTGAGGGTCCTAGTCCTGGGTTTGACTCTGCTTGCCCATGAGGAGGGAAGAGAGAGAGCCTGCTAGGGGCTCTGGGAGCATGCTGAGTGCAACATGCCAGGCGGGCGTCTGACCCCACGGCTTTGGAGAAGGGACTTGGGCCATCACTCCCTAACACACATGAATTTGGGAAGTCTCTTTGGAAAACTGAGATCCCACTCCACCGCCTACACTAGATGTCTTAAGTCAGGGTTGCCGCTGTACTGGTACGAAAGATTGAGCCGATGAGTGAGGTGCAATCCATCCCTACACTGGGCTTCATTTAGAAGATGGTCTACACACAACCCAGAGCCACCTTCTGCCTCAGGTTCTCCCATTCTGTGAAAAAGGTAGGGCCTTCCTTAGAGAGGGGACTTGGGGTTTCACTCAATGATATAAGCATCTGGTGACATTTTAGACGCCCTACAACCTCCTATGGGGATCCAGGTGTTGCTTCAAGGACATAGGACTCCCACAAGTCTTAGACCTGGGCAGATACATCCGAGACTGTAGGGTGTCCACAATGACATGAGATGCCTACGTGTAGGCAGTTGAATTGTGCACTTGTCTGGAAATGTTTTTCTGTCTAAACTTCCCCTCTATCTCAGTTGAGCTGGGTAATGCACTAGTCTATAGTCAAAAGGAAAAGATCATTCGTTTCCCACAAATGGGAAGTGGTCAGCTCAGCCTCCACGATTCATGGTGCCCTTCCCTCCAGTCCTCAAGTCTGATGAGGTTTGTCCTCAGGCAGATGGTTTCTATCAGGGATGGGGCTGGCAGTACCAGGGAAAAGGGAGAAGATATCATCTAACCAAGTAACACAGATGTAAAAAAAAAAAAAACAAAATAAAAAGGAACATAATTCCATCCTCTTACATGCTGCTATCCAACCTTTCCTTTAGCTGAACAGATGGGTTTGACGGGCCCCATCAGTTCTACAACCAACCTCATTAAAGACAGGGCAGTTAACCTGCGAGGGGTGAATTTGGCCTCATCTCTTTTCTTTCTATGAAAGAAATGGAAAGTTTAGGAGCTTTTTTTTTTTTTTTTCTTGTTTTGGTTTAGTTTTAGAATTTGGGGCTTCTCTTTCTCAGAGAAAAGAAAAACATGGGAAGGGAAATGCATGACATTTTCTGTTACTTGACCCCGACGTATCTCTTTTGGTTAAGTGTCATGCTCAGCACTGACAGTCTTCCCAACATTTTGAAATCTCCAGAATTGTTTCCACTCCTTACGAGGGGCTTCATATGTAGAATTAAAGCAGTCAGGATTTAATGTTGGGAGGGGACTGCAGAGACAACCACACCACAAAATGCAATATGGTACAGAAATCTCCGAGTCAGCACCAACCACATCAGCCCTGCAGACAGAAGTGCTGGAGTCTTAGCTGAGCATTGCAGGATTTCTGTATTAGCAAACCTCAGAGAGCAATTTCTTCTGCCACTCAATCTAAAATAATTTTGGTGTTTTCAGTGCATTCAGATATATTGCCACAGAGATGTCCCTGGATTATAATACATTCGTCATGTGTGTACATATGCTTGTCATGCCCCCATCCTTAAATTCAAATACTATGAGCTTTGGGTCACTTGTTTAGCTTCAAAGAGAGGGTTCAGTGCTGAAAAACTGGGCTTTGATATTCCTGGGGATATTCAAGGTTACAGCATGAGCACTCTGCAGGAGCTAGGAGTTGTGAATCCAGTCCTAGGTTCTGCACTATGGAAATTACTCCAGGCTTCCCTTGATGTCTTAATGATATCGCTTTGGGAAGATAAAACAGGGCCATGAAAAGGCACCGAATCAAACTGCCCTGCAGACACCAGACATTGCACCTGGTTAAATAGGCTGCCCATAGGAAAATGACTCCTGGCTCTTCCAGAGACCTGCTCCAGAGCTGAGGCTGCTGAGAAGGCAACACTCCGCTGTCAGTGGCACGGCGAGCGAGTGGGATGTTTGCTCAGATCTGTCAGCAGTCTCAAGCTG